AGAAAGATTTTTGAGGCTACTATAAACCACCACAATGCTGTCTGTATGAGGCCCTACCTTGCCAGCTGTAGCTCCAGAGCAGCTCCCTGCGTAGTCCACAGACCCAGTATCAAGGTAGAGAAAATAGAGAAAAACTCAGCTTCTGCTTCTGCTCCATCTTTATCTCCTCAAGGCTTACTAAGATCTATACAAACCCTTACTCTCATACAGTGGCTTGTTATGCCCTGGGGCCTCCCAGCAGGCTGTGGGGCCTGATGAGCCCTCCGCCCAGCTGGGCCTTCAAAAGCCCCTGGCCTGGCTGGGCCTTCTCAGTGGGAAGTGGTTGTGGCACCTGCTGAGGTGGGGTTCTCTGTGGTCTGGGAGCCTGTTGTAGCCTTGTCCTGGGTTCAGCAGCAGCAGCAGCAGCAGTCATTTTTCTCTTTCTTAGTAACTGGTGCAGTGCTGTGTTTTTGACTTCTGGCTTGGGAACAGCTCTGGTAACACCGATGATTTTCGTTACTGCTCAAATGTTTAGTCTGACCAAGGACTTTGTGAGCCTCATGCCCTGCTAGGGAGGAGGGGAAGCCAGGGGGAAGCAGAGACAGGACACCTGACCCAAACTGACCAGAGAGGTATTCCATAGCACAGCACATCATGCGCCTATATAAACTGGGGGCAGTTACCTGGAAGGGTGCTATCACTGCGGGAATGGACTCGGTATCAGCCAGTGCCCTGTCGGGCTGGGTATTATCAGTCAGCAGGTGCTGAGGTGTTGTATTCTGTTCCCTTGTTATTTCCCTTATCATCATTATTATTGGTGGTAGCAGCAGTGATTTGTGTTATACCTTAGTTACTAAACTGTTCTTATCTCAACCTGTGGGAGTTGCATTCTTTCAATTCTCCTCCCTATTCATCTGGGAGCGTGAGGAAAAAAAGGTGGGGGGGAAGTGAGAGAGAGAGACTGCATGGCTGATTTATGGCTGACTGGGTTTAAACCACAAGTGTGTGTGAGCAGTTACACATTATGGTGGTTTATGAATGCTTGTTTGTGGTCTTCAGATAGATAGGTAGATGTGGTGTTTTCTAGTTCTTATGGCAACTATAGGGATAGGTAAGATACTTCTGAAAATGACTTTGGTGTGGGTCTGGAAGCTCTTCACACCCCTTTGTTGGTAGGAGTCCCTGTGGCTGGGGGGTGGCTGGTTCCACATACCTCTCCACAGACACCCTGGTCTCCTTACTCATGGGGAAAGTTGACCACAGGGAAAAGGTAGTTCTTAGAAATTGCCTGCAACATATCCAAAATAATACAAGGTAGAGTTTTCATACTCTTAGAAAAGAATTCCTGAAGCTCTGAAATATCTAATGTGCATTATCATGTTATTGTTCAAGAAGGTAAGTTTTCAGGTTTATGTATTTTCATATGCTATCCTGTATATGTTGCTTCTCACTCTACTTTTATTCCCCTCATACTTATAGCTTCATTCTTTATGTATTTCTACTGGTCCTGCAAGGTGTGGTTTAGGGTTGGAGCAGGGCAATCTCGGGCAGAAGCAAAGCACACAGTACAGATAAAATGCTATGGTTTAGGGTTGTCCTGTGGTGGGGAGCCTGCGTTTTTGTAGCTTTATTTTTACATATTTCATTAGGCAAAGCTTGAAAAGCCAAAACCTAGGCAGGCTTGGACTAGAATGATTTAAGATTAAATGTGGGACATACCTGATGATAGAAAATCTTAATTTGGGACTCAGTTGTAATGTGGCTGGAGGGCACTAAACCCTTTGTAATTCCAGTTAGCTCAGCCATAAAGTGCTGTAATTGTATCTGACATTTTAAGAGGGGCACCCCCTGTTTCCTGCAGACACTGTGATGAACTCCTATTGCTCCATAGTGCAGGGTGTCCTCAAAAACCTGGCAGTGGATAAAAAACACGTGTTCTCTTTAAGGCACAAAAGCAGCCTTGTACTAATATAGTTTAACACCAACCAGCAATGAAGCACCACCTAGCTGCTTGCTCACTCCTCCCCAGTGGGATGGGGGAGAGGATCAGAAGGATAAAAGTGAGAACTTCTGTGCTGAGATAAAGGCAGTTTAACAGGTGAAGCAAAAGCCACAGACAAGCAAATTAAAAGAAGGAAGTCATTCACCACTTCCCATGGGCAGGCAGGTTTTCAGCCATCTCCAGGAAAGGGATCATGGCACGTAAGGGTTACTTGGAAAGACAATCGCCATCACTCCAAACATCCTCCTGCTTCCTCCTTTTTACCCAGCTTTATATACTGAGCATGACATCATATGGTATGGAATATCCCTTGGATCAGTTGGGGCCAGCTGCCCTGGCTGTGTGCCCTCCCAGCTTCTTGTGCACCCCCAGCCTACTCACTGGTGGGGTGAGAAGCAGGAAGAGCCTTGACAGTATAAGCACTGCTCAGCAGTAAGTGGAATACCCCTGTGTTGCTAGCGCTGTTCTCAGCACAAATCCATAAACCTAGCCATGTACCAGCTACTATGAAGAAAATTAACTACCCCAGCCAAAACCAGGACACAACTGTAGCTTGAAGTCAAGTGTTTAATACAGTATCAGAAACAGTATTGTAATAGAAAAAAGATGAATACCATATGTATTATACTTGTTACATTTTCAATGATAATTTAGGGAGTGAAGGATTTTTGAAGGATCCAGTAGAGACACAAACAATGTAGAAACTGATTTCTGTCTGTTTAGACCCAGAGATAAGCAGGTGTTGAAAATACCTTTTTCACCAGGAAAAAGCAAACCTTGACAGAATGTGATTTACTAATGAGGTACTTGGCACACTAGCAGCAGATGTCCAGGGCTAATGTGCTCCAAGTGTTCCCTTCAGAATAAGGACTGATCTGTAATGCAGGCTGAAACTTGCGTCACTCGGTTTGATTTTATTTAGCGCAAGTCATTGCCTTTTAGAAACGAGGGCTGATTCATCAGGCTGGCTGTGTTTTTACTGCCTAGTTCTGAAAGGTGTGATGTGCTGATAGATGTTCATTTGATGTACCAGCAATGAATCCGGTATTTGAAGCATTCAAATAACAAGTTTAATGGGCTTGGGCAGGATGGGAGGTGAATCTAGTTTGAAGAACCTCAGTTGAGATTGCTTGTCTGCCTGACAGAAGGCTTGCTCTGCTTTCAGCTACTCATCAGGCTGGTCTAATTGGTCTGTGTATGTACCCTAGATGATGCTGGAGTTGCTAGCTGATGGCATCTTTCCATTAAAACGAGCCTCCTGAGAGGCCAAAGTTGTTTGGTTTGGGGTTTTGTTGTGCCGTTGTTTGTTTTTTGTTTTTTTTTTAAGTAGCCATTGAAGAAGGAAAGTTTCTCCTTTTTGTTTTTTGAGTGCAGATCCTAGTTCAGTGCCACTTCCCCAGATGTAAAGGTCTATGGTAAGTTATCTTTCTCCTGATTTCTTTCATAAACCCAAATCTGGGGAACAGTTTGCTTTTCCAGTGTGATAGTCACATCAGAAACTAAAGCACAAACAGTTTCAGAAAACAACTGAGGTCTATAGGGACAAGAAGAAATTCTGATCTTGGGGAACATTAGCAAATAGTAATAGAAATGGTTTAGATGACAACTACACTGATTGAAAACAACTGGATTTTTTGTTTTCCATAGTTTTCTCTAGAGTTTCCAAGGGCCTGTTTGTCAAACAGGAAGGTTACATTGACTACATTTCTCGATAAACCTTTTTTGTTAAAAAAGGTATTGCCACGAGTGACTAATCCTGCAATTTAATGATCTGTATCAGGACATGTATGAGTAGGCAGTGATGTACTTTTTGTATGCTAGAAAGCATTAACTGGCTTATGTATCATCAGTTTTCAAATAGATATGTTACACCTTATTGCTACCATATTCATTTTATATTTGTTACCAATAATAGTCTGTTGATAATGTTCAGTTCATAATTATGTTTTGTAGGGTTCTAAACTTTACTTCAGTTGGCTAAGAAACATTGCTCAAATCCCTTCCCCAGTCTCCAACTGTGCTGAGAAAATGAAGGAGATGACATAAAATGATTCAACATTTGCAGAACTTGGTGCTGTGTGGGCAATGCTGTAAGTCAGCATCTCCCTTCATTTGCAAGCAGATACCAACCTCTGCGCCAGCTAACATTCTTTGACTGTATCAGGCTTGGAGGTATTGTGAGATTTTCTAAGAACATAGGGGAGGGATAACCTCAAATGATCAATGAAGAACCTCTTAAGTAAAGAGAACAGAAATGGAGTTCATTTAAACAAATGACTGTTGCAGGGAATGGGTCTCAGATGTAGATCTTCTGCAATTTGGTTTAAAATTTGCTTTCCTAAAAACTTCTTCACCTGTAATCTTTCTTCATGAGATCTTAATACACAAAATTATCCTTTCACTTAAATATAAAAGATCTCATAAACCATTCTTCAGAAGCTCTGTAAGCTGAGAAAGAAGGAGGATGACATTTTTGTCGTCTTTTTTCATTCTTTGGGAGTTGCCAAATTCTTGGCTAATAATAACATATATATATGCAAAAGAAGAAAATTTCCAAGGCAGTACTGTTCAACACAAGTCAGTGAACAGAGATGCTGAGATACGATGTTCTTGAAGTTGTCTTTCTGAAAAGCAGGGTCCATATTCCTACAAACATCCTGGTTGCAAACTCCCCTTCCCAAGCAAAATTGCGTTTATATCCTTTTGCTTTAAAGGAAATAATGGCTATTTACACTTGTTACCAGACTAGTCACATCAGGAATTCAATTATTCATGCATGCAAGAGCATCAAATGGTGCACCAAAGAGAATGTTTATACATGCTGAATAGTGGGGAGAATACAGCTCTGCAATAGGAAAGGCAGTGTAGTGTCAAGATTGATCAGTAAGCTAAGGATACAGTAGTCCAAGTTACAGAATACTAGATAAAGAAATAAAAAAAAAGTCAAGGAAAATGAGAACTTAAACCCAAGATTTCTGGGTATAAAATATTAAGATTAATAAAAACTTTAATAGGTGAATTATTTTCAAATATTTTATTTAGAGAACTATGAACTATTTTCTAATAATGCCCTTTACATAGTTGCATCTATAGAAAGCTAGTGGAGTGAGAGCAAAAAGAAGTAGCATTAAAAGAACCTTCCATCACAAACAATTGGTTTATCTACAAAAGTAAACCAAACACAAATAAATCAAAGAGAACATTACATAAATATTTGCCCCATCAAATAGAAATTCAGTGTCAGAATTTGGCATTTAGGGTTGATTTGTGAGTGTAGGAAAATACAGTATGCAGTTAGTGTACAGAGCACTACAGCTCTTCATTTGTCTAGAAAGTTGGTACAATGTAAACAGAGCATTTCTAATGATATCCTCAAATTAACAGATCATAAGTCATTGAGCCAGGAGTGAGGGGAACTATCCTAGTTTTCTACGTGTTTGGCAGCCACTAGCTTTTTACAGGCTGCTGTATATGCGTTTAATTACATCAGCCTCTTCCTTGTCCAGGATGCCCTTGTCCACGTAAGCATCAGCCTGCTCGTCAATGAAATCTCTCAGCTTTGAAAGATCATAGTCTGAAAAATAAGAATTCATTTGTACAATGAGTCACTGCCATTACACTGCTTCACCTAAGAAACAATGTCATTTTAAAGTTTATCCAAGAAGTGCACTTTATCCAACATGAAGAGAATTGAATACAAGTGCAACTTGTGAAAACAATGCAAAAAACCCTACCACCTGCACAAAGTCTTTTTACGCATCATGGCACTTTTAATATTGAAAGGGAATAATCATCTTGTGCTCTTGATTGCTTGCTGGCAAATGCTAAAGACAGGCTATTTTCTGGTCCAGAGATCTGATGTTCTAGTCTGCATGGCAAAAACTGTTGTTAAAACCCTGTTTTCACAGTTGTCATGGATTCAAAAGAGGGTATTGACTTTCCTGAAGAAATCCCAGTGAAATTCCCACATATTACAAACACTCGTAGTGAAAATTCACTAAAGCAACTTCCTGAAAATAAAGAACATGCTTACCTTGATACAGAACATAATATCCTGACATGAAAAATACTGCAGTGAGTAGTCTTTCTGAGAGTGTCAGGGTCAAAGTAGTCTTTGACAACCTTTGTTTATTAGTCTTTCATGATCTCCAATACAGTGCTGAAAGGTCCTTCCTCCTTTTCCAATAGATGGGTGCTGCTATGCAGCATCTAGGCATTAACTAGCCTTTTCCTATGCCAGAAGACATCACTATTTTCCATGAAAAGAAATCAGCTGTAGAGCAATCTTTTAAGTAACATAAAAGTGTAACCTATTGTGTAGTCATAACTCTGGGAACAGACCCAGTATATTTGCACAGAAACATGATGCAAGTTTTGGTTACACAATTAAATAATTAAATTGTTAGCATCACATATTAGTAGTGTGGAAAACATCTGTGTCTCTTAAGCATCCATACCAAGTTAAATGAACTAATATATTTAACAAAAATAGATACATCCTGATTTTTTCAGTATAAGTTACTTATTGCATGGATAGAACCTTCCGACTATATTAATACCAATTTTGTGATGTAGGCCCATGTATATCATCATATACCAATAAGTGGAAGGACCTTCTTTCAAACTATACGTTCTTAGCAAACCAGGCAATAATGATTTTCTGTCTTTTTATAGTTGAGTGACCAAAATTGGGTAGAAATAGAAAGACATTAAGAAGCAAATTAATGTTTGCCATCATTTTTATAACAGTATAAGGCAATCTCAAGTGAGTAATACAGAAAATTGATATTCAGAACTCCCCACTCCTGCAGACTTCCTATATCTGCGTTGGCAGGAATTCTGCCATTTGCTGTACTTAGGTCAGGATTTCATGTCTGGTCTTTTACCAGCACTACTGAAGAAGATGCTTGTGTCTCCATCCTGTAACAGGGACAAACAGTACCTAGCAACTTATCATTAAGGCTGGCAGATTTCATTTATGTTGACAGAATAAGAGTCTCCAGTGAAAGACACCATGGAATGGAAATTAGCTGAAGAATAAATACGAAATTAACATAATATCCACATTATTTGCATTAACATTTCCAAGCTTATTTTCCTTCTTAGAGTTGCAAAAACTATTTTAGATCATTAAGTGGACATGTGCAGTTTTAATTACTACACATTTTATGAGATTATAACCATTATGATATTATCCAATTCTGGCTAATTTTTATATCTCATGGCAATTTAATTGGATTTTTTTATATGAACTGATATCAATTAATTTATAATACTTATTTAAAACCTATTAATTTTTACAAGTAATTAGAAAAATCATTTTTGATTTATATTCACCACAACAGCTGCAACATTACATTTTCCTGTAAAGCTGCCATAGTAAATGAAGTGAGCTCTTATTTGCATATTCAAAACAAGCCACTTGCCATTGCAATTAATTATGAAATTAACTTTCATTCCTAAATGGCTACTGTTAGTGTTATGAAACTATAAACTACCTAAGTATTTTGTGAAAAACCTGAACCTGTTATTTGTATGTATTAACAGGGTGACTCACAGTTATGTTCTTTGGAGACTAACTGGAATAGAATACCCAGCAGCCAGTGTCTACTTGTGGGAGTGATGTTAATTTACACAGGAGAGGAGCTAGTTTTAAAGAGCACTGGATTTAGAGATGAAGCCACTTCTGGGAGATACTAAGGATAGGCCCACATAGCCTATAGATTGTAGATACGAAAACAAACTTTGGACACAAAAGCCAATCAGGCTGAAACATGGGCTTTTGACAAGATTCTCTTTAACTCATACAGACCACGAAGTTTACTTGCTTATTTAACAGGAAATTGATAATTTTTTTTTTAACTGGCAAAATGCAAGTTAACATTTCCAGTGTCGTCAGTCATTGAATGAACAACAATTTCTACTGGAATTCATACAAAATCAAGTTTCTATGAATACCTGCCTGAAGAAAACCTAAAGCTCTTCAAGTATGTTTGGTGAGTAAAACAATCCGTGAACAGGTGTGGAAAAGATTGGCTATTTTAATACATAAATTTCTTGTGAACCACTTTTCTGCCAGCTGCCAGGTGCTAGCTGGAAGTGCGAAAATGATTGATGAACACATCAATACCACCTAATCTTGTACAGAAGAAATGCAGCACAATGCATTCACAGTTAGATAAGCTTACCCTGCCTGTACTTTCTTTAACATCATCCCAGGAGAACTGAATTAGCATTTTACAAAAATAAGAAGTATAGAAATGCACAGTAAAGATCATGTATCAGAAAAGTCAGAACACTGTTCTAATTCTGTCATAACTTACACTTACTTTCAGGGCCATTTCCATTGCCAGAGGGCAATAAAGATATTTTAGTGCAAATGAAAATCCATCTACACAGCAAGCATCTTAATGCATTCACAGGCACATAAAATGCTATTGATCTGCAGTCACAGCCATTTTCATGCTGCAGCAGTGCAGAGGGGAGGTTACTATGAAGAAGAGTGAGGAGCTGCTCAGTCAGCATGCATGATACAGAGAAATAATCACACATGACTGAGATCTAATTACTATAATGAGTACATTGATAAACAGAAACATGTATTAGAATTGGCAGGAAAACTCTTGAGCAAATAGATACGCTGCTGCTAATTGCCATCGCTGCCATGGTGTGGAAATGATTTTAGAGATGGAAAAATTTTTAGAAAGTCCTTCCTGTTAAGGAGGCTTCTGTATAGGCAAATTAATGTGTTAGGCTGTGGGCATGCACTTACCTCTGAAATGTAATTCATATGGTGTTCAATTCACAGGGTGGCTAGATTACCCAGGGCTAATCTCATCTCAGATTCCCCTCTGCTTGGCTGGTGCAAGGATCCTTCTTGCCAGGCACCAGTCATACCCAAGGGATTGATCCCTTGGCTAGGAACCTTCACTTACAGAGAGGGTGATGCCAGAAGATGCAGCAATGGCAATGAGAAGGGACAGAGGGCTGGTTTTAAGTAAGATCTTCAGGGCAAAATTGGTATGGATAAATAAAGATCTGAAATGTAAAATGGAAATCCTCCCTGCAGCTGTCATACAGCCCTGCCTCTGAGAAAGTCAAATGGTGGAGCAGCTGCTGAGCATGCCCTGTGCAGCTGCTTCAGTCACTGCTCCGCTTCTACACAGCTTTGTGTGAGAGCTACAAGTCATTACAGTTGATTTGGGCTGTAATCCAATGTTTTACACTGTTAGTGACATAAATTTGTATCTTAACTATTTATGGTAATGAAACAAAACTTGTTGCTTTTTGTGATGGCATGCACAGTGCTAGCCAGATATGCTGCGCTATTCTAGACACATCCAGACATGTAAAATACGTTTACCTCATGTACAAAATGGTAGTTGAAAGATGTATTGAACTAAGAAATGAAGCACTAGACAAAACTGATGTCCTGTTTCCCAGTGACAGAAGACCACCTAGACTACCTGGACAGCACTTCTAGCTAGTGAGTCACTGTCTGTTCTGTGGCCAGCGGCTCTTCAAGCCAGTTTACATAAATCATAAATTTGTCTTAGTTTACTACTTTCATTCATTGATTTAACTTTTACATGACCTGAATTATTTAACTCTAACACCACTAATTGTCACTATAACCTAGACAAAGCACAGTTTCACAACACAATTTAAATTGCATGTTTTATAATGTATATGGTGCCCACCCCAATGTCAAGGCTTTTTATGTCATACCTTCTTTGTTACCTTGTTTGTTGTGGTTTTTTAGCCATTCTATGTTCTTCCTGATTGCTTCCAAATATGCCTCAGCTTTCCCTAGAGGAAAGGGTGAGAGAGAAATTGGGCACTTAGATCAATGAATAATGCATCTTGCTTAACTGGGCACAGCAAAGGCAGATTAAAACTATTCTTAGTTTCTGTTTAAAAGCTGAGTCCTGTCAAGCTTAGTCAGGCAAAAGTCCCACAGATGGCTAGCAGGTTTTGTCTGTGCAAGGTGAGTCATCCACAAACTCAGGAGCATGGCTTTTTTGATCGTTATACATAGCTTTTGGTGGTATGCATATGGGGATCAAAAGCAACCTGTAACTTCTTGATCATAATAATTGTTCAGCAAAGATGAAGTTGCTAAGACAGCAAGGAGTGACTTAAATAAGGCTGAGAGCTTTGAGAATCTGTTCATATACAAGTGTCAGAAAACTCCTCCATAGAGTAGTACTAACGGCATATAACAAATCTAAGATTGTGATATTTCAGAAAGACAAGTTGAAACACAGCTACTTCTGGTTTACTGAGATACAGCATGTATTACAATTACCATGATAACTCCTTGTTATAGCTGAAATTTTAAAAGTGATGGCTATTTTGGACCAGAAAGCACACAGGACGAAATTAGTTCAAGGATTACCTAATAAGGTTCCTAAGGAAATATTCAAGCTAATGGGTTTTGAATTCTTAACTTGGCTGGAGCTTTATTGATGTAATGTTCTTATATTTGTCAGGGAAAAAAAAACCAAAACACTAGTGCAATTAGCATGTAGAAGGCTACTACTGCCAACTATGCATGTCTGGTCCCATTAGTAAATGGATATTAGCTATACCATGATTTTTCATCTGGAAGCACAGGATTAGCCTTACAGTAAGTTACTCTGTGAAAGAGCAAAGGGCATTGCATGATGAGACAAAGAACTAAATAGGGATCCAGTTTAAATTTCCTAAAAGCTATTGGGCTGAACATTTTTCTGAAGGTAAAGGAAAATAACCTGAACCAAACTGAACAGACATATTTTCTTCAGACAAGAGATGCTATTTATCACTTCCAGCAGGTGACAGTTTTTCTTCACTGTGAAATTAGGGAGCTATCTTGAGCTATATTTTATGCTTAAATAACCATTGCTGGAAAAGCCACCTTCTATCTGTGAGTGGCTGATAGTTTACATGTCTGCACTGCCCACAGGACTGAAACAGGTGACCAATGCACTACAATATACTGTAGCCTTGATTACCGCAATTCATTACTGAGCATGTTGCTGTGAAAACATGCATCCAAAAAAGTACAGGCATAAACCAGCATCAGCACAAAATAGATTAGAAGCATTTTTTTAACAAACGGACTATAAAATATAGATGCTTATGCTGGATCTTTAACAATAAGAGTTCACTGAAAGGTTTCTGCACCAATAAACATCCTCTTTCAGAAGTTCATCACTGCAAGGAGGCAGTGTCCTCTGCAGATTTAGTTTGAGAGATAGCAGCTGATTTGCACCCCATGGACAGAGTCTTCAGCTAGTACAATCTAATGTAGCATGGCACATGGCATTATGCTTACTAAGGCAACTGAGATACTAAAAGTATTACTGTGCTAAGTTTTCTTATTGAGACAGTAACTTACTGTAATAAGTTCTCAAAGTTATGCAAAACATGTTAATTGCTGATGACCCTTAGCCTCTGCCAAGTTGTGTCACTTTGCAGAACTTTTCACTTCCTTTCCTTAACAGCTTGTTCTAACACAAACTTGAGAAATCAGTGGGCTTACTCAGAATACTGAACATCCTGATGAGCTGATTTCACTGAAAAAAACCACACGTGAAGACGCAAAATCTCTCTGCACTTCATATTGCTCTCAAAAGAGGCTGTGAATTCTATAAAAGATTATGGCCTTACTCAGCAAATAAGTACACTTCTGAATCAAGCTGTGGTGTGCTGACCCCCAGTAACCACAAATTGAAGATATTTATGCTAACATAATGGAAAAACAATACCGAAGGTAGGAAAATATTCCAATCACTTGGAGAGTACACATGTAGCAAAAGCAATGACTGTTTGTACCTCTGGGCTCTTCATTGTTTCCTGCTGCATTTTGTTCTTCAGTTTTTGTAGAATCCTTTGAAATTTCATATTCCTTTTCCATTTTAGCCGCTTCTTCTTTCGTACTGTCTGCTTCTTCACTACTTTTGTCTAAAGAAAGAGCAATTTTGTATCAAATGTATTAAAGCACTTCTAAATCACATCAACACAGTCTGTAGGAAGTAAAATATTCTGACTGATGATTGAGGAAGAACCTCACTGGAGTGACTCACAGTGGTTTCTAAAGGTCATCTATACCCCAGATCTCTGGAAACAGGAATGCCTGCTTCTGCTCTTTACAAACAGTAGCTGAACCCAGGTGACTAAAATGTAATAATATGTAGTTCATAAAGGCACATTACTTTGTGCAGAGAAAAGTAAGAAATTTGCATTTACTAGATCCAAAGTTAACAAAGATTGTTTTTTTTATTATTTAAGTCTTAAAAAGCATTGATACAGCTTGCTTTTGTATGTGTGTAATGTCTGCATTCTGCAGAAGAACAGTGAAAATATTTCTCAAAAATTAGGTAAGTAAAAATTCCTCTTGTGTGTTTTGGAATCCAAGCTGTGGCTACAGGTCCTTGTGGGACTGTATCTTTAACTGGCAGTCTGGCTTCTAAAGCAATTAGCATGCTTTTAACTCAATATGTTAAAAAGATGTGTTATCCATGAAGGAAAACTATAGAATAAGTACCTGCTGGTAGGTTTGGTCTGGTTTTCGTGGAAGGATTCTCAAGCTTCTTCTTTGTCTGCTCAGCTATCATTGTATCTAAGTTTTCTAGAAATCAAGGCAACACAAAACCCCAGTTATTCTTCAACAGATATGATCCAGAATCTATGCTAAATTCTCTGCAACACTGCTTTGAATGGGAAGGAGAAATCTAAACAGTCTTCATCCTTGCCTCTGAAGAATTAATGCACTAAGAGAACAAACAAATGGATATACGGAACTTTGATAAATCTTATTGAAAAAATTAACTAAATCATGACAATAGGTGCATCAAGTAGAGCCAATATTCATAAAGACAGTAAATTCTGCATATATATTATAATTATTTAGATCACATAAGTCACAAAATATAAATAACAATATCTGTAGCAATTTATTCTGATGAAAGCAATGAAAGGGTTTAACCTCCAGAAAGCATACAAGACTATGAAATAAATATGTGTTTCATCCTGGTAGGAAAATATTATCTGAAACTGCTTATCTGTCTGGATTTGTTATGATTTCATTGGAAAAAGAAGTCTAATAAAAGGTTTAAATTATATTTAGATGAAATAAATAAGTAAATCAAACTGACTAAAACACATTTTTTCAAAGTTGCTGAAGTCAAGCATTTACCTGAAAACCCAGTGGACAGCCATTGCCATGTATACAGCTCCAGAAGCCTAGACAATGTATGTCAATGCAAATTTCAGGAATAATTTGCATTGCAAATTATTCAGGAATAATTGCACCTTTTTATCAAGAGGGATGTTTTAGATATAAGCATTGTATGCTTATGTGTGGGGAGAAAAAGGTTCTTGTGATACAATGCTTTATAGATATTCACAAATACTTATTCTAAATATTCCAAATATCAGGGACTGTAGTGATAAGACAAAGGGTAATGAGTTCAAACTTAAAGAGGGGAAGTTCAGGTTAGATATAAGAAAGAAATTCTCTGTGAGGCTGGTGAGGCACTGGCACGGGTTGCCCAGTGAAGCTGTGGCTGCCCCATCCCTAGCAGTGCTCAAGGCCAGGTTGGACAGGGCTTGGAGCAATCTGGTCTAGTGGAAGGTGTCCCTGCCCATGGCAAGGGGTTGGAACTAGAGGATAATAAGTTCCTTTCCAACCCAAACTGTTCCTTTGATTATATAATTCTAAATACAGAACATCATACAGTGCCATTTTTCCTCAGTCATATTATGGACATCGTGTCGAATTTTCTTTCCCTTTGTTAACTTCTTTTTTTTTAAGGTTCAATTAAACATGGATCCAAAATTTGATAGATGTTGGTGCGGTATTTTTGAGAGACTTGGTTTTGAATTGTCAATATTCTCTCTATATAAACAGATAAAAGAGTATGAGATGTGGTAACTGTTGTAAAATAGATATTATAGGGCAAGAAAATATTTTAGATTGTATCTTCTGTGTAATGCCAACATTTTAGCCATCATCAAGGAGCATCTTTTTCCATCAGAAAGATACTCAGCACTGAAACCTAAAGACTAGGTTTTTAGCAAGCATATCTCACTCCATGGCAGATCCCCGTAAGCGATTCTGCCTGCCATCTGACCAGAAATCACATAATCCTGTCTGCCTGGTTGTTATTTACATAAAATGAAAATATAAGCAGTTTTTGTTGGCACCCTGCCTGATTGCGCCCAGACAATTCTACATCATTTCAGGGTTGTTGTTATTTTATTGTGAAAACTCTTTTCATTTGATACGTGTCCTTTTAATGTGATTTCTGACCTTGCTGTATGCCCTAAGCTAAGCAGGTCATGGCTGAGTTACAAGCTGGATCAGACAGACTGATGAAGAAAAAACCAAGCCAGAGTTACAGTGGTGGTATTGATGCCTCACTAATAACTTGATCCAAAGCTTATTGAAAGGACTGTAAACATCTCTTTCAGTTGAGCTTAAGATACTATTTTTTATCCTGAATCAGTATCATACTAGTATTCCAGCAGGAATATAAGGGTTCTTCTGTTGCAAGAGGCACAGTTTTTAGAAGAAGATTATACAGCTAAGAACTTAAAAACCCTTTGTAAATTCAAGTGAATATTTTTCTACACTAAGTCATGCAAAAGTGTCACTGATTTAAGATCTTAATCCAGCAAAATGTATTAAAGTAGGCTTAGTTTTAAGTATAATAGCATTTTAAAATTGGACTATTTAAGTGTTCAAAATGCAACACATACATAAGTGCATTGATTCCAAACTGTCATGAAAGTGTCTGCATTTAGGCACTGCTGCAGTAAGACTGTATTACCAGAAAACAAAGAATCCACCATAAAACAGATTTATAACCCACTTAGGCATCTTTAGATTTAAATGTCTGCATACTGATAATATTTCTAGATGCTTTGTATGATGTTATTAGTGTTTAAAAATTGTACACATCCACATACAGCACATGCTACTGAAGGCAATAGGATTTATACTCCTCCCTTATTCAGTTACTTCTATAAATACCATTAGGAATTCTGAGTCTTTCTGATTTGGCTAACAATTTGAGTTCAATATATGAGTAATAAATAATACTTCATAGAATCATAGAATGGTTGGGGTTGGAATGGACCTTAAAGATCATCTAGTTCCAACCCGCCTGCTGTAACATGGGAATGTGCAATGTTTTCCAGCAATATGCATCGAACAGTTATACTGTGTACCAAGTATAATATGGCAGTGTTGACCACTAATAATCCGAGCTCTGCCATTAAATCCAGACTGAATATATCAACTATATTCCATTTTAAAAGCTTATTTTGTCACTAAAGATATGGACAATTTACTATGACAGGCATTTTAATAAGGACTGCATTTTACAGGAGAAATAGTGACACTATCTTGCTACCTGGATGGCACATCAACATGCATCTCAAGATTTCATAAGCAGCTGTATTTTCTGTGTGACAGAGGAGTTAATTATGTAAGCCTGTTCATGTTTATGGGGATTATGTGGTGTACCTACATATGCATCATTGAGAAAATATTACCAGAGAATCCCAGTTCTTCCTGAAGAGGATTTATTGCCCTTTTCCCCCCTTTAGAATTACCTGTCTTGAACAGCTGGTATTGTTTCAAAACATGTTTGTGCCTTTCATATTTGGCTAGGCCAGGGCTGAACAATGTTTGCTCTGAGTTAGGCTGATGGAGTGAGTCACCTTCTCAACTGAGATGTGCCTGGCCAGCAGCTAAGCAGCTGCATGTCAAATTTGGAGGTCTAACAAGAATTGATTACTTTTCCGGTATCGTTTCCCTAGCAACATGACTTTTACAGAGGAAGTTTAGAAAGGTACTGACCTTTCCCCAGAGCTGGCCACTTACTTGAAATGGCACTAATTAAAACAACGGAACAATAACTACTGAACTAATGGAAGTGACCTACGTTGGTAAAATAGGTCACTCCTCTGGCGGCTGGCTTTCTGTGGAGCACTATAATCTCGTCACTGGAACCAGACACCAGGAATCAGAAGATCTGGCTTCTGCCTTGCCTCACTTTCTAACTTGATCTTTTATCTGGGGTGACTCACTGAAGCATTCATGCTGCAGGAGGGCTCCTATTTTGAGTAGGCATTCTGAGACACCCTAAACCTGCAATTCTACAGGCACTACACACCAATTAGAGCCTATTAATTGCAGCTGAAAATGCAAATTCCTAGCAGTTTTCAAACTTGCAAGTCCTCTGAGTTGGGCATCCAAAAATCTGAATTGCATAAAACCAGAATGCTTATCTGTACTGTGGGAGAAAGCACTGTGGTAACACCCTTCAAACTCGTGGAAAAAGACACTATGTGAAAAAATATTACAAACTAAATTACTTTGTTCTTATTGGAGAGGCAGAAACTAACGTACCCATCCAAACATTTACAAACTGGTAATGGAAGCCTGAAATGGACCCTTCTCTGTAGGGTCCAATCTGTCTGTCTACAGATAGATTTACAGTGTTTTCTGCACCCTTGTGAATCTTCCTGCAAAGGGTTTTTTCATCTGCATAATTGTCTTGCACCCGGAGGCAGTTTCACATTCTGTCCTCATCAAATTGACTGAAGCTGAGATTTCATGTCATTAAAGTTCCACAGAAAGACCTGCTTTGCTGCTGTTTTCATACAGCATAGATAGGCTGTGTTTGTTAAAGGAGCAAAAAGGATGACCATGGTACCTGAGAATCTTAATGATAGATAAAAAATTAGTTTAATGAGGTCATACACTGCAGCAAGCTTCAGCTGGAAAGCTTTGTGCTGATGACTGCTTGTATGAGATGCACATATTTCATGCATTAAAAAAGCACAGTCCTCCCAGGGCTCTGTCTCCTGCAGTAGATGATCCTTAAGAGCTCATAAAGCTTTTTTCCATCTGTGACAAAACTCAGGACAGTAAAGCATTTGCTTGTGACTATTCTGTGGGGAATAGCATACCTGATTAATTCTTTGGCCAAATCTTCCTTTTAGTTTGCATGGGTGCGGGTCCAAGAACTGTCAATATCCACTGGATTTCCACCAGTGTAGTCAAAAGCAGAGTTTAACCTTTAGTTAGTTCATACATGTATCTTGCATTTGTCACATAAACTGCTTAAACTGTGATGAGCAAGAGAAATCCCTCCATTGTGGAATTACAGATGGGTCTCAGCCTTGCAAATCTCCTGTTCCTTTCTAACTCCCTGCCTTACAAGATACAGCATTTTCTTTTTGCATCTTCCTATTTGACAGTTTTTTCACGATGGTGCCATGAGGAATGACATGTTGGATGACAAACTCAAGGTAGTGGCATCACTTGTAAATGCATTGCATGCAAGATAGAGCGATTTGAAATACAAACATTGCTTGGCAATCAGGTTAAAACCTATTTCCTTTGCATTGCTCCAGGTCTCCTAGAGCTGTGTGGTGCAGTCCTTTCCTAATCCTTTCCCATTCTGAGGCTGCTACATGGCCTGTGTGCACATTTTGATAGCATGCACTTTAAAAGCATGATGGTTTGGGACTGAACTAGTATGCAGCCGCCTCTACTGCAGGAGTGGGATGGAGCTTAATTCTGAAAGTTCAGTGACACCTTCTTTACCCTGCACC